TTTATAGTGATGTCTCCTTGTGGCTTTCACCCAGGTTTCTCTGATGTCATATGAGGCCGAACACCTTCTGGTCTCTACTGGCCACTTGGCTTTTCTGTTCTGTAAGGTACCTTTAAGCTTTCCCCTCATTTAAAAATGGGATTTCCTGTCTTTTCTATATTGGTGATGGGTCTTTCTGTATCCTAGGTAGGAGCACATCTATGGCTTATGTTTTTAAATTTCTTTGATGATACCTGAGGGTAAAAGGGAAATTTTAGTCTCAGTGGAGTTGAATTTATCATCATTTTCTTTTCTGGTTGTCCTTTGGGTATATGTATATGTACCTATTTTCTCATAGCATATTCTCACCTTCCGCTGGCCTTTTCAGATTTCCGTCTTCTCCAGACATTTTCTGCTCACTCTTGTGTGGTGTCTCTGGCCAGCCAGTGTCCTGTCTTTCAAGTAGCCTTCTTCCAGCATGGTGCCACTCCTCTGCCAGCACAGGCCGGCATCTCCATCACCCCACCTTCCTCTCCTGCCTCTCAGGCCTCCTCCCTGTGCCTTTTCAGTGGTTAGCTCTCCGTTCCGTCCACTCCTCCTGCTGTTGTCTGTCCTGCAGAGCCTGAGCTTTTCTGCTCTGCCACTGCCAGCCACGCTCCCACCCTTGCTCTTGCCCCATCGTATGCTCCAAGAGGAAACAGGAACAGATCTACCCTTGGTGAAACTAACCGCTGGATGTAGCTGACAAAATTCTGTGCATGTGGGCAGGGGTGAGGCACTTCAGATAAGTACAGTGGTGGCTGTTTCTTGAGCCGCGTGAGTAGCTGCAGGTGACACATCCGTGCTCCCCGTTGCGGTCTGCCAAGCTCTGCTGTTTCTGTCAGCAGGGTTTTGTGATGTCCAGCCTACCTCTCTCACGAAGCAAGACTGGGAGTGAACAAGACCTGTGTGGCTCGATTCCCTTGGCCTGTTCTGTCCTGGCCTCAGGAGATGGGCATAGTCCCCTGGAGAAAGAGTCCCCGCTGCAGCCGCGCTTGGGAGAAGTGCAGGCCGCTGCTCACTCCTGAAGCTCTGGAGACACCTGAGGAATTTTAAAGGCCTTCAGTTAATGGTTCAGAAAGACACCCACTTTGCTCAAGACCTGCCTTCACTCCCCACCCGGAGTTTTCCAAAATGGACATCTGCTCAACTTTCACTCTTGCAGTCCTTTCCAAGCATTTCCTGTCTATTTGTTTGTGGGCATTTTTTGTGGAGGAGGGATTCCAGCTTTCACCTGATTCTCAGGAATCTGCTGGTCTTCAGAACTGAGAAGCGCCGGATCAGACCTGTAACTGTGTTAAGGTTAAGGATGGCTTCTTGCTGTGTGGATCCAAGGAACAGTGGGCTGGTGGCTTCTAACACTCATACTCTAGTGCCTAGAAGTTTTCTAAAGACAGACAGTAAGTGGGTAATATATTTCCAGGTAGCAGTGACAGATATAACAGGAAAAGGGGAGAGAGAAATGACAGCAAAATAGGCTATGTTCGTTTTTAAATTATTTTTTTTGCCATACTGGGGATTGACCCCATGGCCTTCACACTGAGCTATATCTCCAGCCCTTTTCGTTTTGAGACAGGCTCTCGCTAATTCACTAAGTTTCCCAGGCAGGACTTCAGTATGTTCTCTGAGATTATAGGCCTGTATCACCAGGCCTGGCTTAAATTAATTTTTTGTATTCACCTTTTTGGTTCTTCTACTCAATGATCAATACATTTTTTCATCAATTATTGGGCACCTAGGTTGATTATGTGGGTTGCTACGGTATATACAAAGATGTATAAAATATAAAATGTGAACTGATAGTCTTAACAGATGAGGTAACTCATATACATAGACAACACTATGTAGTAAAGAAATCGAGGTATGCCATAAAAGACACAGACATTTTTTATTCGTCCATGTTTGCAGGACACAGTGACTGCATTCATCACGGGAGCGGATGCACGAACACAACACATCTCAGTTCTTTTGTTCATCCCCTTCCTCTCCCCTTCCCGTCCACTCCCTCCACTTCTTGGTGCTCTTCCCTTCTCTTCCCTGATAACTATCTTTTGTTTTGCTCTTCAACTTGTTTATATTTTGGGTTTTATCATACAGGAGAAATCATGCAATATTAAAGCCCGTGTGTCTGATTACTTCACTAACATTGCGGTAGGGGGCACAGATGCATTGCTTTGGGTCTTTACACATGGGAGAAGTGACTGCACGGGGTGTGGGGGCGTAGTAAGGAGCAGGAAGAGTATGTGATACATTGCAGAAAACCCAAGCATTGGGGCCACGTCTTGAGAGACAGATAGATTTTGGATACAGCTGCAGCTTACTCTCTCTGGTTATTTATTGTAAGGAGACTGAGCATCTGTGGAGCGCCAGGCCCAGTCATGGCCATTTCACAGAGGTTACACCTTACCAGGGAAGACAGACTCTGAACAAGTCAGTTCTTACTCACTGCCGTATTCATTTATTCCTTCAGCATGTATTTGAGTGGCTGCTAAATGCTGTTCTCAAGGCTCAGAATATAGCAGTGGGTGAAATAGCCTCTCTTAGGGTTTAGGTCTAAAATGTCCCCCCAAAGCATCACTTGTTCAGAGATGGAGTTTTCAGCAGGTGCTATACCCATCAGGGCGTGAGTCCGATGATGTTTTCTGGCTGAATGTGCTTCTAGGAGGTGGGGTCCAGCTGGAGGAGGTGGGTCACCGGGGGCCACGCTCTGCTTCCTGGCTGCCCTGAGGTGAACAGCTTCCTTGTGCTGGGCTCTTCCACTGTGCAGCTTCTTCCTTGGCTCCAGCCAACCACGTCCTCTTCCTTTGAGTTTCCTATGTGGGGTCTTTGTCCTGGTGATGCTAGAGCTGATGAGCACAGCCTCCGAGCTCTTGAGCCTAGATTCTAGTTGGGGAGGCAAGTAAGTAAGCAGACAATATATTTTCAGACAGTGGAAATGCACTGGTGAAAAATAAAGCAAGATCAGGGGAGAGTACTGGTGCTGTGAGGTCAGCTGTTTCCTGAATGTGCTCAGGGACAAGACAGCAGAGCAGAGACCTGCACAGGAATGGGGAGCTATCCTTGTTAGCAGCCAGGCGGAAAGCTCGCTGGGTAGAGAGGGGCAGCAGATGCAAAACCGCAGCATGGAGGATTTGAAATGTTCTAGGAATATCAAGATGGTCTGTAGGCTAGGAATGTGATTTGTGAAGGAAAACAATGTAGAAAATGAGGATGGAAAAAAACATTTTCAGAACTTTGAGGATATACTCTTAGTCTTCATTCAGATTGAGGATTTCTTTGCAATTCTTTACATTGGTTTTCTAAGTAGGCATTATAATATTAATTACCTAGGAGTGGTTATGTTAATCAAAACCGATGTCCTTAAAATTTAGAGGGAAGATTTATTGCCGTTTTCTGCCTTGTATAAAAAGTGGATCTTTCATTAAGCGTGCTCTTTAAGTGATCTAATTAGACCATTGGTCTGGTTTGCTGAAGGTAGGTATTTATTCTGAAGCTTCTAGGTGAAACTGGAAGAGTCCCAGCACTGGCAGATATAAACAGGAGGAGGAACCGTGAGAGAAGCCACTACTTCATCCTGGCCTCTGCTCATGGTTGCCTCTCCCACCCGCTCCTCTGCACCGGCCTCTGGTGATGGCACCAGCCCCTCCTGTTATTCTCTCATCTTCTTAGCTAGCTGTTTCATTCACTTGACATTTTTACTTGCACTCGTCACTAGTAGCCTGTCATTTGGGTTCACTGCGGGGCCCTTGGTGCCAGGCACCTGGCTAGGTGCCCCATAGGAAAAGTGTCCACATCAGTCACCCCCGTAGGATGGAAGCCTCCTGAGCGGCCCTGGCATGAGCTATGCTTCCAACACTTGTTTGAAAGAATGAAAGGAATCCACTGAACGTACTGACCAGATTTGTTTTTTATATTCATATGCACACATGTGATCATTTTCATTTTATGTTTAAATTATGTACAGGTTTCTCATTCTGAAATAAGATTCTTAAGGATGTGATGTTCCAAGTAATATCTGGAATCTTTAAAGTCTGCTACTGCTAATGTGGTTGGAAGATTTGCACACAGACTCAAAGTTGGGTTTTTTCCCCAGTGATTCAGCAGCACCTGATTTTACTTTATCACAGCCCAGAGATGTCAGAGTGCTAATAGGCGGCCATCACGTGACACACGCAGTTAAATCAATGGCTTAGTGCCTGGATTCCTTTCTGTTTGTATTGTTCTTACTGATTTTATTCCTTAAAATGATAATTAAGGCTGTATATTTTATGACAACATTTAAAAACTCTTGTTTTCACTGGCTTTTGTCTTCTCCATTTCATCTTCTATTCTAGAGGTTTCACTTGGGAGCAGAGTCTCCTGCTGATTGGGTTGTTTTATCATTGACTAATGTACTACTTGCTCTTCTGCAGTCGACTCTTCTGAAGCAGGACGGCCCTTCTGGTGTTCAGAAACATGGGATGTGCATACAACATTAACTTGGGGCATCTTTTGTTTTTCCGTTTTTTGTTTTTTGAAACAGGGTCTCACTATGTAGTTGAGACTGTTCTGGAACTCACTTTGTAGCCTAGGCTGGCCTCGAACTCATAGCGATCCTTCTGCCTCAGCCTCCTGAGTGCTGGGATTACAGGCATGTGCCACCATGCCCGGCTTATTTTTTTGTTTGTTTGTTTTTGTTTTTTGTTTTTTGAAACAGGGTCTCACTATGTAGTTGAGACTGACCTGGAACTCACTTTGTAGCCCAGGCTGGTCTCGAACTCACTTGGGGCATCATGAAGAGCAGAGTGGCAGCCAGGCATTGCTGGGCTATCTCAAGACAGCCTTTGCATCGGGAAAGTAAAGGCCCTTTTTTAAAACAACATGGTGACTACCTAGTGCCGTCCACTTCAGAATGCATTGTTTTCCTTAGAAAAGCACAATCCACTCTTTCCTCTCCTCCCACCCCCCAGTGATCTAGCAGAAATTTTCTGTCTTCTCCTCAGGTAATTAAACCAGAGAGCAGTGACAAAGAGACAGAAGCTGCCTATGAATCCGATCTCCCGGAGGAGCCCCGTGGACACCACCTCCCGCAACAGCCCTCAAAAGGCTGCAGTGCCAGTCCCGATGTCATCATAGAGGCTCAGTATGATGACAGCGACTCAGAAGATGGACCCGGCAATGCACAAAATGCGCTGGCTGATGGAGTTCGGAGACTCTCGGTCTGTGCCCGTGATAAAGGTGAGTGTGCACTGCTGCGTGGCTTTTTGTTTTAGTGAATAATTAAGCAGTAGTCTCTCTTTGTGAAAGAGTAAGTCACACAGCACAGTTGGTGTCTTCCCTGTGTCTGACCTGTGGCAGCTTCCAGCAATGGGGATCACTGTTGGGCTTGCACTGCTGGTTCTGAGACAGGGCGCGGAAGTACTGTCCAGTGGTTCGTGTCGGCAGTGCTTGCTGTTACTACGTTCCTCATAGGCTTCAAGTTCTGTTCATAGTTAGCCTTGACATTTTCAGTGGGTTCCTGGTCTCACTGTGTGGGTGATAGGAACAGAAATAAATCGGTCTTTAAAGTCCCTTACGCAAAAGTACTTAAGTTTACCCTTGGTTTTGCTTTAATTCAGTATTTAAAAAAATTCTGTCATTGTTCATATAGATCACCCTAAGTTTTATAGGCAGATTATCTTTGGGAAGGATTTTGATTCCAAGCCTTTGAAAAAGCCTGTCCAGTTTTCTGTGACTGACATCTAAGCTGTGGGTCCTCTGCAGAAGAAAAGTAATTACAAACACATGGGTGAGGAGCTGTGCCCAAGGCCCTACCTGACCGCACTCTAAGGAACTTAAGGGCAAGGAACGTTTACTAGTAGAGTGCTTCAACCTGCCAGTTTCTAAGAGGGCTAAGAAGAGGGAGTATATTTTGCAGTCCAACAGATTTTTATGTGTGCTCTGGAACAGAGAAGCTTGAGCAACACTGACCTGGCCCGGCGGACTAGATTGCAAGCTTTGTTATCAGGAAGAAGTTTCGGCCCCGTCCCCGTGAAAGGTTAGAAGACTCCCTGGAGTACTGCAGGAGGACGTTCAGCAGATGGCCTGAGATAGGGTCTGGCAAGCACAGCTCCCTGCGTCCCGAAGGCTGAGGTGATTTCAGGAAGTCACTGCAGCAGGAGTACCTGATTTCCTCCCTCGCTCTTGGGACCTGTGCCGGAGAGCATGTTCTGAAAGCATGTGCTGCTTTTTGGTGGCAGATACTGTCCTTCAGAATGAATTCTTTGAATGAAGAGGCCGCTGCTCCCTCTGTCACTGCTGTGCCCCCACCCATACTGACCTGAAGGCACCCAAGTTTTTCTTATTTTGTAGCATGCTTAGATAGCTAGTGGTTTCACAGTTCAAGGCTCGGCCTATTTCATTTGGATGCGATTCCTTGAAATTTCATTCTTCTGATATTTCTTTTTTCTTTCTTTAAAAATGGTTGAATATTGTGACTCTTCTTAAAGTGCATATGTGTTTCATAACAGCATCAGTACCGGAAGGGAGGGAAATAATCAAGACCTTAACAGCCAAATTCTTCATCAGCAAGCTCCTCCAGGCAAGAGCTGTTCATAGGACAAAGCCAGCCAACAGGACTCTTTTAAGTGTATGGAGCACTTGGCTGGAGCTGCTTTGTGGAAACCCAGCCCTGGTGGTCAGGCTCGGCGGATCCCAGTGGCCTTCTTTCCCTGGGGCCGCGTGCCGAGTGGGTGAGACACCTTGATCTCGCTCTACCTGATGCAGATGCAAGGGCGAGGACGTACTGAGAGATGTGGCAGCAGAACTGACAGCCGGGTCGGATGTGTGCTGCCCTTGGCCCTTTGGAAGCTCCGGGGGCAGCCGTGTTGCCGTGTGCCGTCTGTCAGAACTCCTCTCCCTCTCTTCTACAAGTCCACATCTGCGTGTTTTTCCTAGCCACAATGCTGCTTCCATAGTAGCCCTGACCGAGAGAGCAGCCCTGATCCCTCCCTTAGTGTCTGGTACAGATCTCTCTCCTGCTCACCTTTAAATAGAGAGTTTGGGAAACCACATGGCTGCTTTTCTTTTCTTGCCCTCTTGATATTTAGGAAAATCACAATTTCCTCTTTAAAAAAAAAATCACAGCATTTTAAAGGGTATTTCAACTAGCTTCTCTTACTCAGGATAATATAAAATCTGGTTGCAGTTAAGATGTTGGTAGTTTTTGCACCATTTAAGGTTTTGAAATTTATTACTGAAACAAACCATAACCTTAAGAGCACCATAAATTTTTCCTAACACTTCTAGAAAGATTCTTTGCTTTGTATTATACTTGCAAATGTATTATTAATCCTAGTTCATGCTGTGTTGAAAGTTTTTTTTGTTTAATACCATGTTTCTTTATCCTAAACAAATACTACATATTACACGCGTATACACGGTTTCTCCCTATTTGCTCAGGAAATATTCATACCTTTGTGCTAAGCATCAGTTTTCTGGTAAGTGAGCACTCAGCCCTAGTGGTCTTCAAGACTCACCAATAATCACATTAAGAAAAAAGTTCTCTGCGTCTTGGACCCACCAGTAGTTTCTTCCAGGGAGATGGCATGGGTGTGTATCATCCTCAGCCTCTGAAAGAGAGTGAGCTAAGACCCGGGCCCCTCTCGAAGGTGCAGTCACGCAGCCTCAGCCTGAGTTGCCACTCTGTAAGCAGTGGGTTTGCTGTTAGTGTACAAGTCTGCTGTCTTTGTAGAGAGTGGGAGACAGCTCAGTTCAATTTCCCTGGTACCAGATGCGTCAGGGGTCAGGGTTGCCTGGTCAGCAAGGATGAAAATCATCATGGCCGAGTGGTACAGCAGCTCTGTACTCCTCATCACTGGGAATGGTAAGCAGAGATTGGCCTCTGAATCTGGCGGTCATGACCTCCACTGGCTGTGAGGAATGTCTCCTGCCCTCTGTCCCAGTAGGGTCTGGAGAGATCCTTTGCAGGTGTGTAGTCTGGAGAGGAGCCTTAGCCAGTACCAGATGAGTGAGCGTGGCTTCGAATATAGAGTCAGCGACCTTTCACTTCTGTCCTCCAGCCAACTTCAGTTTTCTGAAGAGGAGACTCCATGTGGAGCCCTAATCCCTCCTGAGATCAGGTCAGGTTATTAGTGCTCTTTTAGGGCCTGCCGGCATCAACACTGGGAGTCAGGAAGGCTGCTTTTTTCCCCCCTTGAGACTGATCTCCTGTCAAGGCAGGCCCTTTCAGAGCCTAAGTTTCCTCAGGTTCTCTGTCCTTCCTCCCCTTTGGCTGAGAGAAGCCAGCCCTTGTGACTATTTGTGTGTGAAACCTTGGGTTACTGAAGCCAGAATCCCCTCTCCAGATTGTCCAACAACAATTCTTCTTTCTCAAAGTTAAATTTCCTCTTTTGCCAGCTTTCTACCCTGTGTAATGATAATTAGTACAACTGGAGGACAATAATGTTTGCTCTATTTATCTATTTTTAGTAATGTTTTATTGCTTTAGAAAAGTTAAAAATGAAGTAGCAATTTCCTGTCAAGTACACATTTAGGACAGTGTTTTATACCAATCATTACAGATCTGATGAAAGTAAAGCCTTGCCCAGTCTTACATTAACAGAAGGATGCAGTGAGAATATTTGCTCCCCTATCTTTTACACTGAGTGGACAATGCAGTCAAATCAGAGAGAGCTAGAAGTCAGAATTTACAATATCCCAAGACCTAATCCTGAGTCACACTACTCATTCATCCTGTGAAGTATGAAAAAGAAATACATGCACAGGTAACAACACATGAGAGAGGAACAGTTCTTTATTAACTACAGCTTTATCCAAGCCAGAATGCTTTCAGGGCTGTACCCCACTAGCAGTGCCTGAGGCTTCATATACCTTTCTCATCCCTGCCAATAGTTAGGGTTACCCAGCTTTCCAATCTGCAATCCAGATTAGTTGCCTTGTCTTTTCCTTTGCAAATTGTTCTGTGGGAGTTCCTGTTCTCTTGGGGTTTTTTTTTTTTAGCATTTTATCTTCTCTCTGTAACAAGCCCTTTTTAACAGACTCATTACAAATATCTTCTCCAATTCTATCAAAGTGTTTGTGAACTTTGTCTGTGGTGTCTGTCACTGAACAGAAGCTTTAATTTTAATGTGATAAAATGATATGAGTCAGGTACTAGTTTTAAAAAATTTTCCCTCTTGGCAGGGCTCAAGATCTTTTCTTTTATTAAATTTACAGTTCAAAGATAGATGTTGAACCATCCTTGAATTCCTAAGATAAATCTTAATTAATTCTGATGTGTTAGTATTACTGAAATACATTATTGGAGTTTTTTTTTTTTTTGATACTGTGTAGTGTAGAATTTTTGTATCATGTTAAGATGAATCTAAGGCTTTCTTGCCATCAGATATTTAGAGTTAGTATCTTAATAGTTTCAGAATGTTCTCATTGGTTTTTGACACCCCTATTTTTCTGGAACAGCTTGTATAGAATGGGAATTAACTGTCCCTTAGCATTGGTAGGACACATTGTAAAATTTTCTGCACCTGCTGTTTTTCAGGAGCTGAGCTCTTTGCTGTTTTAATCTCTTTCTCACTGATTGGCCTGTTCAGGTTTTCCATTTCTTCTTCTACCAGTTTTGGTATAACTTAATGAGAATTTATCTATTATCTATAGGTCATAAGTTTACTAGCACATTGATATTATTATTATTAGTGTTTAATATTCTTTTATTATTTTCCAAGTCTCCTTTGTGTCTGTACTTTGTCATTCCTTCTCATTCTGTATTTTAATTATTTGTTTCTCCTCTCTTTTTCTTGCCAAAGTTCAATGTTACTAATTTTTACAAAGAACAAACTTTTTGATTGTGTTATTTCTCTTTATTGCTGATATGTTTTTCTGTATATCACTGATAGTTGCTGTTCATTATTTCATTCCTTAGTTTGGGGCTTTTGGGTTTTTGTTCTTTTCCCAACTTATTGAGTTGAATACTTATCTTAACTATATTTAATCTTTCCTATTTTGCTTGTAACATTTTAAAGCTGTGTCATTATAAAATTTTTTGAATTTATATTCCACAGGTTTTGATATGCTGTGTTTTTATTATTCTAAATCCAAATATTTAATATCCTTTATGGCTTCTTCCATATGTAGATCAGTTGTTTGTTAAGGCTCTTTAGCTTTTTTTTTTTTGCTACTTTTGTTTAGGTTTTATGGTATTATAGTCAGAGAACAGAAGATATATATGTTATATATATATTTCTT